TATGGCTATGGGCGCCCAGCGCCGAAGACTACAGCCAGCGCTAATACTACTGCCTAGCGCTGAAGACTACTGCAGCGCTCCTCCTGAGTGCTGCGGCCGAATCCCGAAGACTACTGACCACTACCTACCTGGGAAGTGCATGGGAACAGCCTATGTACTACCGGGTGCCTCCTGACAGCAGGCGAGCATTCCAGGAGGCTGCTCTTGCCAATGCCGATCGGAGGCAGGGGCTGCCGCTGCAGCTCCTGCTCAAGCTCGTGAGGAACATGCTATTTCTGGCCTGTTCCGCATCCTTGTTTACGTGCCTGAGTCTTAGGGGCGGTCGAAACAACGAGGGCCTGAAAAAGGCCCTCCGTTTCAGGCTGGAAAAACTCTGAGACCCAAAAATAGGCTGAAACGGAGTAGGGCCTGCAGGCCCTCGTTTTTCAGCTTTCAGGCTGAAACGACCGGGGCCTGTAAGCCCTAAGTTTTAGGCTTTTAGGCTGAATGTTCGGGACGGGCCCTGCAGGGCCCGTGTGGCAACGCAGTATGCCACACTGAAACCTCAACAGTCTGCAGAATCCCCTCACTGATTACACTGTAAATGATAATCTACCTTAACCAAAATCTAAGTAGACTATCACTCTCTCTCTNTGATAATCTACCTTAACCAAAATCTAAGTAGACTATCACTCTCTCTCTCTCTCTCTCTATATATATATATATATATATGCGGGGATCAGGGTCCTCGGTAGGCCTATGGGGCCTTGTTTGCATCATTACCCGCCCTAAGTGAAGGTGGAGGTGCCCGCCCTAAGTGAAGGCGGGCCTAGCTTTTTGCAAGTGGCCCTCGGCTGTCAATTTCATATTTGTGGTCCAGGCAGTTGCGACGCGCCAGTTGGTTGAAAGAAACACAGGCCGAGCAACAAAGACATTTCCACGGCCCTCTGGGCCTTTCCAAAGAATGCAGGCCCTGGGCGTGATTCGCAGCCTCATACAGAGACAGTTGGGCGCCCAACCGAACGAGGCCCAGCAGCCGAGTAGTTGCTGTTGTACGCAGGCAGCCTCCTGGGGCCTTCCGAAAGCATCTGGGCCCAGGCCAGCCCCGCCAGGCTGCGAGAGCTGGCCAGCTCTCTTCCATAAAGGAAAGAGCTCTGGCCAGGCAGCCTCATTCAGACACTCGCATGCTAGCGGCAGCGCTGCTGGAGCAAAGGCTTGCGGCTGCTGGCTGGCGCTGAGAGGCGAGGTGTAGCACGTGCGGTCGTGCAGAGGAGGAGGGTGCTGCTAAGGGCAGCGCCATAGCCCAGCCACCATAGCTGGTGGGCTTGGACTACAGTGAAGCGCAGGGGTGGTCTTCGGGTGAAAGAGAGGACGGGTGTGGGTGTAGTCAGGGGATAGCTGAAGGATGATGATGATGATGATGATGTGAGGGCACTTACCTTTTATTGGCGATGGTCTGCATGGGCGACATCTTCAAGTACTTCGGGCTGCCGCTGATGTCAACAGTTGCATTGTCTCTTTGTAGGCTGTAGTAGTTGTGTAGGAGTAGGCTGGGCGCTGAGAGCGCCAAGTGTGAGTGTGAAGGAACTGGACTCTTGTGTTGGGAGGAGAGAGTATGCTCTCCATGAACATTGGTTTTCAGTGCTACGAACCTCCATTGGTGTATTATTGGTGCAATGCTGCTCTCTGGACACAGTGCGACTATTTGGCTTTCAATGTGATGGTGCGATCTGGAATGGTACCTCGCTGTTACTTATTTTCCTTGCAATTTGGTATCGGAGCTGGTTCATACTGCGCTTCATTGGTTCTTCGCAAAATAGCTATTGGTGCTTCGCATGAGGTGTGGGGCAGTGATAAGGCATTGGCGTTGAACGTTAGGCGGCCCAGGGTAGTGTGGGCGTGCCAGGGAGCTATGTGGTGACATACGGGGTGTATGCTGGATGATGAGAACTCGCTGATGTGACATATTAAGCTGAGGTGGAACCGCATTTTGTTGTTGGTTGTGTTGAAGCAAAGACCGGTCATCATAATTGCACATCAGGTTACCGGTGAGAAATTTGTGGTTGGGGATACATTTATGAGGTACGTTGCTCTCTTCCTTATCTATCCTCTTCATCTCTTCTTACCGTGAGGAAGTGAGTTCTGTCTTGAGAGTCCTCTCGATGTGAGGTGTCGCGAGCGCTCAACCTTGAGAGTCGACATTCTTCCTGGGCAGCAAGCTGGTGGGAGACGGGCGAAGCCTCTGAAGGGCCTTGGACGAAGCACTCGGGTCACGGTCACCATGCCAACCCGCTGGGACTAATACACGCATGCTTGGGCAGCAAGTCCTTGGTTCTGCTGCTTGCGCAATAGAGGTCGTGCCAGGCATGCCAGCCTTTTATGAGACGCTTACCAGACCGCCTATAAATATTTCTGGTTGGGGGACTCGGATTTGAATCTGGCTGTGATCGTCGTCCTGTCTGCGACGTTAAATAATTCCTGAGGAGATGGGGGCTCTCCTTAAATCCCTCCTGATCAGCCAGATCAACCGGGTGTAAGGCTCGTTCCGTACGAGGGTAAATAAGAGTGGACTGGCTGG